AAGCTCATGTCCTGCAATATCGCCTCCATCCTGTTCACACAGACATCCGTCAAAGATTCAAAATATCCCCATGGTAACAATGGCACAACCGATAAAACCAAGGCGTAGAAATAGCACGTCAGTGCTTGGGGCTCGTCTCTCTCATTTTGCCGTCCCAACTCGATCCAGAACATCCAAAATCGCAGCCCAGCGAGTCTGTGGAAGGCATCGGATTCGGATTCAAGGGAGAGGGCAGAGTCGACGGACCATGCTAGTTGCACTAGGTCCGAAAAACCTGTTGAGCGCCAACTAGGTTGCCCGATGATGTTCCCAAGCGCCGTGACTGAGCTCACGAGGGCATGGATCCGCTGGTGGATTGCGAGTCGATTTATAGGTGGCGGTTGAGTGGGTATGATGGCTTGGGAGAAGAATTTGCGAAGTTGGAAGTCCTTTCCAAGTAGCTCGGGACAGCTAGTTCTCACATTCCGGTCTCGAATGTATGATAAAGCCTAAGTGAGTTAACGATTCGAAACTTGGTTAAAGAGCGTCGAAATTACTTTTGTATAGCCGTCTATGAAAACAAGCCATTGCTCCCTAATGCCAGAACAATGTTAGCAGAGTTTCCTTCTTGGACTGAAGAAAAGAGATTTGGCGTCACCTACCAATCATCCGCCGTCCCAGCGAGAGCAATCGAACATATAACAGCGGCGTCCGAGTTCCTATCCGAAAAGTTTTCGATTTCTTTCTGCAACTCGCCCAAGGCACCGCACTTATACTGAATACAAAGATCCCTCGACATCGGACTTCTCCGCTCTTGGTAGCGGGTGTATGCAGCGAGGCTAATATGAGCATCTTTCACGCACTTATGTTGACCGGCAAGCTGGTTGTACCTGCATATCCTTCTGTTAGCCACTAGATTACTAATTAGTCATTTTGGAGACGAGTCTTACCTCGGCGCATGATCTCTCTGTATGGTCAGCAAGCAGCTGCGTGGCATTGGCCGCTCCCCCAGAATCTCATGTGCTTGCTGCAAGATAGAGCTCGTATCTGGGTCGAGATCCCGATAATGCGGGGGTAAGAAAAGAACGGCATGACCTTGGGGAAGATTACTCGCTAGCCATGCTTGGTGTGTGGCAGGAGGTAGGGCGGATACCATTGATGATTCGGCAACTGGTGGTGTATCTGTGCCTGAGTCTGAAGAGTCGCCAGGTGGATTCTCGGTGTAAATACACTCGCGACCAATGCGAAGACAATTGCTGCTAGGTTTCCGTTAGAGGCTGTATCTAGGTACAGGAGGTTTGGAATCTGTTCTGATGCAAGACTAACAATGCATATTGCGTATAGGAGAATTTACCAGTAAGGTAGTCGCTCGTCGCAACGTACATGTCTGAGTTTACACGTACTGCAACCATTCCTCGAACGTACATGGTGTTGACGCCGGCGCATTTTGGTATTGACAAGAAAATTTATTGAAGATTCTTGTTCGTCCGCGGCTTCGCAATTGAGGTTTGGCCTTGAATCTGACTTGATCTTCTGAGAGGAATCCATACTGGCCGAGGCTTCTGATTTACTATATCAATGAAACAAAAACCTTTACTTAGATGTATAAAGGAACTCAAGGAGCGTCGACGACACAATTTGTCACAGAGTGGACACTTTTGACACGAGCCTAAAGCTGAGTGTTGCCATCTTTCCTTATTGAATTGACCAATGAGCTGCTGCCTCTTATAGGAGCCAGGGGGTTTCGACACCCTGTTATAACAGGACGGCAGGAATCAGCAGCATAAGCAGTAAGCCACAAATAATTCCACAAATGCCCGAAACGGAATGGAGGAGTTTCTAAATGACGTCCTTCTCAGCCTTACACAGGCATGACAAACTTATACTTCTTACTAAAGCAGCCAAGGACAAAACTAAAGGCTTCGGATAGCCCCGAGTGGATCAGTCAACTCGACTGGAGCTTCCAAGAGGAAATTATGCTTAACGTGGACATCCACACCCTGGAAATGAGGAAAATTGTCGCGAGGACCTTCTTCATCGAGTTCTAAGCTGACATAATCTCGATTTGCATTCAGTATCAAGGTATACTCGAAGCTTTACTCGACCTGAAGACCAGCATACCTCTTAACATAACTGATTGATTTAAATTCGAGATGACGCAAGAAAATGCACACGACGCCCATGTTTCATCGCAAGAAGTTGCTTCCTCCACTTGGTCCAGACGGCGTCCAATCCAAAAATCATGGCCCCCACACGGCATGGAATGAGTGTACGCAACACTATTTCTGTTGCACCTCAGCGCATTGGAGGATCTAGCAAGACGGGATACGGCCGTGTTGATGAAAATTAATGGAGATCGATCAATATCGCGACTTTTTGCGCGTGCTATAGCTCCGCGTCGATGATGTCGATAGAATGATTACTAGCGGATGGATGATGTGAAGCACCTCGGCTCGTACATGATTGCTTGCATGTTTGAGGCTGAGAGGTTGTCCGCAACATACCGTACCGCTCGTATCCTCAAGCTGGATCAATTGGTTGGCAGATATTCCGGCAAGTTGCACATCTAGGAAAAAGAGGATGCGCCTTGGCAGGGTGCGCAGGTGTTGCTGGTCGAGACTAGAGCATCCTACCAAACACCAGCAGAACACAGGTTCTAGTTCCCTGTACTCCTTCAAATGTGCATGGGAATAATGGAGAAATCCGTACTTCGTACTGTGCCTGTGGATTTGATTATCAGCTAGTCTGGATTGGGGATCACTCCTTCCCTACATCCTGTTCTAATTTTAAGCCTCACAGTTTGTTTTAGTTCATCCTTTGGAACATCCATCCACTCCCCACATCTATATGTCCACTCCGCACATCTCGTAACTTAAAAGTCTTAGGGCTGAACATACTAGTCGTCGAGCTTTTAACTTGGGAATTAAGATTCCGGATCACTCCGATTATAAGCACAAAATATTGTTAGTTCAAGCCTGTGAGCTCGTCACAAAAATGAAGTATCTTGTGTGTAGTGTTAGTTTGTAGAATACTACCAGCTTTTCAGTGATAGCTTTCAGAGGCTCAGGTGGAGAACCATGTTTCTATCCTTCCTTTCCTCGCTAAGACCAACGTTAGAATCCTTCCCTCCTTCTTGGCGGCACGCACCCTGCCGTGTCCCTTCCTGCCTGTATCATGGAGTGGGGTAATCATTGTATCTTACGATTATTCCCGCATCAATCCACTAATCTAGTGATCCATGCTAGTAAGTCGATCTTTTAAACATACCTCTCATTTAATACTAAACCGTAATACGAGCACGTTGATATACATAACTCTAAAACAAGCAATAAACCCACTTTGCTTTATAGAGATATGCTGTGAGGCTTACCTACTCAATTTCTGTACTAATCATAAAGGGCCTGTAGTACACGTGATCGCTACATTATTCCTGTAAAGGGTTCATTTGGTCTGGCCGTCTGGATGAAAATCAAGCTCAAATACATTTTAGATAGACATGAACGACAGCCTACTCTATTTCTTGCAGGCAGTCACATGTTTATGTATTGGAAATACATCTATTCCCATTCTCCTTTAGAGTGCAGATGGTTTATATCTAGATGCGTAAGATTGCCTCCGGGGCCCTCTAAAGATCTTTTCCAGTTCAGAGCTTCGTACCTGTCCCCGTACCAGGTCCTTTTAAGAATCCCCTTTCCCCACCTAAAACCAGGCTAGCGTGACTAGCAACGGCCACTACTTCCATCTGTTCATCACAGACCACCACTTCCTGACTGACCCTCCCATTAACGATCTCCCCCATCCTGATTCTCAGAAACAACCATTCCCACTCCCCAGATTTAAGTGCCTGTACCCCCAAGCCTAGCGTCGGCACCCAAAACCCGTCCCATTTGCCCTCGAACCTACTATTTTCCAAATGCGGTCGGTACGCATCAACCAGAAACGGTATTGCATCGAGTCCAAACGGCTTTTCGTCTAGCCAGCGTACCCACATATCGCGCACCAATGGATCGCGGTCAGGATGGCCACATGTAGAGTCCGAGCCGATGGGGTGCAGCGCGGTCATTTTGAATGCCGCGGGCCGGGCGCGCATCATTAGGGGCGAGCATACCCAGGGCTCGCATTCGTCTTTCCTCGGGATGGTTTCCTTATCTATAAGACTCTTGGTCTCAAAAGTCGGGCCCTGAGAGATGGCAAGATTTGAGTGTGTGATCTGTGCTTCTATACACAAAATTTGGGGTTGGTCAGGAGACTGGGCTTGGAAGAGGGAAGCGCGGACAGTGCTGAACTGCCGGCCGAGTTTCAAGGTTGTGAGGACAATTTGAGCCGGGCCAGGCATCGCGCGGGAGAGGAACGTTGCAAAGAGGTTGGCTAGATGTGGTTGATTTGATGATGCGTGGTGGAGGGTGAAGTGTTGCGAGGCGGCGTGGGAAAGGAGGGCAAGGAGGTGGCCGCCATGTGGTACTGGGGACAGATGAGTGTTTGTTGGGGGAGCATGATGAAGTGACGTACCGTTACCAATACACCAGTCGCGTTTGATATTGGCGTGGTAGAGGTACGTATTTCCATCAGAAGTAGAGGGGATAGGTGTAATTGCAACGGCTTGAGCAAAAGTGTTCTTGGGGAAATCAACGGGAAGGAGTGGCAAGCCAATCAGGTCAGCATCGTCATCAACGATCTTCATCTTCAGTATTGCTACCTTAAGTCAAAGGAAGTAATCAGATGGTCGTCGTAATTGATATATAAAGTGCTTTTCGATGACGAAAAGTGGAAGGGGGGAGATGTTTTCCAGTATGGGGAAATGATCAGTAATCTGTAGCGGTATATAATTCGTGCATACCCGAGATCCGGGGTTGCTGATGAAAATGAAGTGACCTTCCCTCTTCAGTAAGCTTGGACTCGGAACACCGACCAGTGCTAATGCTCACATGACTCTCGAGCAACATGTAGGTACTCTTGACATCGCATCATAAAAGGCATTTTCATATCTATACCCATACTCATATGCACTGCGGCAGCCACTGTCATTGGTCGATAGAGCGGCTTTTGTGGCGCACAAGTAGCCCATCATCGCTTACTGGCGACATGCAGTATTGCGTATCTACCGACGGGGTTTGTCCCTTCTCAAGTTCACTCATCGCCGGTTGCTCCAGATCATGGGTGATATGGTATTTCTGGAGCTGCAGATCTGGGGTATTAGCTCCCTCAGTAGTAGACTGAATCGAATTGATCGTGGACAACGCCTGAGGCTGATTGTGCTGGCCAAACGTGGCGATGGTTCCGTGGGAATCTCGGGTGGCGGCGGAGAAGAAGTTTGGAACGTTTCGAGCCCAAGATGAGAAATTCGAATGGGTATCTCTAGTTTCGGGCCCCGCTCGTGCGACTAGATATCGAGAAAGAACTATTGAACTGTTAACTATCTTCGATGGAGATCGAAAGAGACCACAAACCTGGCACGGACGCGCCAAGCGCATACATGAACAACTCGATATTATTCATCATGATGAAAGGAGTCTCCTGATAATATGCATCGAAAACTTCAGCTGTGCGGGTTTCGTAAGCGCCGTAAATTCCACAAGCGCTGTAGTGTGTTAGCTATGAGGTATCTGAAGGTTTGGGATGATTCATACCATACGATAGTTCCCAGAAAAGTAGCTAAAAAACACCACTTCAGGATCCGTCGCTCACGCCCCTGGATATTGCTCCTCTTCAATATAAGCAGTGGTATAAGCATGAGCAGAAAATCGATTGGTAAACTCAATCCAATCCATACTATAGAAATTAGCATGTTGAACCTCATCCACGGCTTCACAACTTACCCCATCGAAATATATCCCAATTTACACAGACAACAGGTTGAACGGACCACCGAAAATTGCTCAGGAAGGGGCTACATTGAAATACCCAGGCGACTCCCATAGTGACACCCAGAAGCGCAATCAATACAGCCAACGCATAGACGCACAACCTCATTTTTCTGAAATGAACTGGAACTGTAATTCATGTTAACAATTTTGTGAATCTCATTGGCCGGCTTTGTGTCTTACGGATCTCAATGAAGCAGAAACAGACAGAAATCTTGATGGAAGAATTGGCAGCATAGTACGCAGACCAGCCAAGTTGCCACTGTGTGCGGTTAGTATTATGATGGGGTTTGAACCTTCTCGGAGAGAAATATTACCTTCCAGTGCCCTTCCAACCATGGTTTCTTTACATTTTGTATATGCAAGCCACTTCCGTTTTTATTTGTGAAAATTTGGCTTAAAAGGTATGCAGTGACAAAAAACTATGTTCAATCAGCGAATGTATTTGCAGAGCGTTCCTCTGTGTAGCTGTACCCCTGCTGCGATCATCCATCTATCGTCCGCACGAAGACGCTTAAGCCTGTGCCATCGATATAAAATCCTAACAGCTATAAGAATGACTACAGATTTTTGTTAGGTTTTCTCTTTTTGGATTAGATTGGCCATATCGCTCGCTGGTTTAGGTGAACGATTGTCGGGTTTCTAACCACAACAAAAGAAACGAAGTAACTTACTAGTCAAGGAATCGGCAGCGCAGATTGTTCCAAGTTCTAATCTCTGGTGCCATAGCGGCACAGGTGCATTTGGATCGTAGCCATTGCTGCCGGAAACAAAAAAAGTGCCGTTCGTCTGTGACCCATCCATAATCGTACAATTGCCAGTAACATAGCATGCCGTGCTATTATTGTTGGCCATGATTACATCGTCTCGTAGGGGCAACAGGAGGGGCAATCCCGCTATTCTTCACCAAATGCCATGAATTGTTGTAATTGTACGACGGCCTTTCAGGGCATACAGATAGGTACAGACTTGTGTGAAGGATTCCAGAGATCCGGAGAACGAGCAACGGCGCAGTATTAAGGTTAAGTGACACCCACGGCCCCTGCCGATACTGCAGAGCACTACGCTCCGTACAGTACTACTGTATCGTATCGTCGCGATAAGAACAAGACGCAATGGAAGGGGGGGATGGGCGCGATGGGGCGACTGGGGTCCGTCAGGCCTACCGCGGCCCTAGCGACCACCCCCGGGACATGTGAAGAAGCGTCGGCATTCGCTGTGGCGTCTGTCCCCTCCCGATCATCTACAACGGCATAAGGTTACTTCCGTGCTCCGTACGCTTGGTGAAGAGCTTGACTTGCTGCGTGGCGGAGGAGGAGTGTGGGCAGAAATGGGCGATAAAGCTGCGATAAAGCTGCAGGATGTATATAAGGAGGCTGGGCTGGCTGGAAACAGGATTCTACCCGATCATTCCAGGTGCATTTCGTGTCAAGATGGCAGTCCGTGTCATTTGAGCCGGCCGCTTGTCTCTTTTCTGTGTCTTGCAGAAATGTAAACGCTAGAGCGGAGCTGAAGATGTCAACCGTCTCTTGCAGCGTATCATAAAATACCCTTGTCTCTTTATGGGCACTGGTGGGGGCAGACACGGTGTCTTAGTAAGGCTTTTCCTCCGATAATCAGCAATTTCCTCCTTCCTATCCAAGCATATTCTGTCCTTACCTACATATTGATGTAATATATACCAGACACAGGACTCGTAGGCCTATAGTATTGACTTTTATTGATAAAGAAAAACTTCTCGACGTCAGTTTGTCCAATCGAAAGGGTCAGAAAACCCGATTCACGTGATTTATATCTGGTAGAGCTCCGCCTAGCCTGGCTCAATGACACTTCGTCAAGAACATCACTTCACCAACTAATCGTGTCCCCTGCCCTACAGGAGAGTGGGGGTAAACTTGGACCACCACTCACATAGGATAGGGGGACACGACTACAGGTGATATACACCCCAAAGATTCTCATCTTCTCAATACCTCAGACTGGAAGAGGAAGAAAAGGACGAAATTGAATGATGGGAAGCAAATGTTCAAGTGAGCTATCCGTGTGACTCTGCCAGTCGCAGTCTCCCGGACGAAAAAAAAAAAGCGCAAACTTTGCTACAAAGCATCTGTGAATTGTTGCAGGAAATTGAAATTATTGTCTTGTGCTGCCAATCTACTTAGCGTCAGCTGTAAACTTCTGCGGAGGGTGTTTTCTTTGGGCATGCTAATCGTGTGGATAGTCGTGTGGATTTTGTCTGTAGGTGTCAATTTTGTTATGTATTGTCGTGCCGAGTTGCTTGCTACCGAAATGGGAGATATACACCGGATCGGTGAATGGTAGACCTTACTGCTTTCTAAAGCCTCTATCTGTTGCCAAAAAAGTCTTGCCCTTTTCTCTTCCAGTTCGACTTCGTCCAATTTCATGATTACCCCCTCATCCTGATATTCGGTCTTGATATGCGTTGACCGAGTCAACACAACAACATTGCGCCTTGTCTGCAGTTTAGAATCGCATTCTCGCATTCAACATGTCCCAGTCTGCCATGAAGACTGTCCTGCTGACCCTTTCAATTCTGTCTCTTGCTGTCGCTTTGCAAGTCTACCCTCCTATTGTCGAAGCGGATACTCCCTTCCAACTAGATGTTACCAGCGACCTCAGCAATGGCCCATCATCCGTTGATGCGAAGTACGACTCTTTCAGCCTCGTTTTGGGTATCAAGAGACTCGTCGACAACGATTTAAACAATGCATGCGTTCTTAAAGGGCCAAGATCGCTGGTCGAAACAATGGATAACAACACATTTGTCGTATCAATACCCGATGGGGTCGGACCTTCTGGGGAGAAACACACAATTGCCACAATCCCATACAACAGTGCCGATACTATTTGCCAACATTTGAACGACTCTCTTCAGTCATGTTATTTAACGAAACTGGTGGATTTGAAGCTGTCAAGCGGGGTGGGGCATGATCGCTTCAGCGGTCTTGGGGGTAAAATTTGGAGAAGACATAAAATGTGCGGAGTAATGGTGCGAATCACTGAATTGGATACAAAAAGCATCTGTCACACTTTTCGGAGTCATTCTTGCATTTCTACTCTTTGGTTTTCCCCTTCAAACTGTGAAAGCGTGAGCTTTGACCTATTTGTAATCTACATCTAAGCTCTCCTCTGCCTGCCTCTGACTTTCAGCAAAGTAGGAATGAATTGTGAATTCCTACCTAGGACATGTGATTCATATAATTTGACAGTGAATCATTCGCTTAGCCCTCTTACCACGCTTGCATTTTATCAATTCTTGTGTCTCGATTCTCACGTGGCCTCAAATACAACCATGTCCGCTATTTCGCAACCTTTCCTCTGCTTTGCAACAATACCATACACATATTGTGAAGATGTCTCCATTCAGCATGAATACCCTTCTCTTGCTACTCTCCAGTATCTCCCTCACCCTCGCATCTCGTTACGATAATAGTACATATGGTGTTTATTTCGAAGTCCCCAACCCGATCGTAGCCGACAACGACGTCAAAATCCACGTCCCAGATGGTTCTTTTATCCGTAACACCCAAGCATCCAGTCAAAGTGCCTATGAAGGAGACTTCGACGCCTACCGTGTAGTTCTCACATACATAGACCCTGACAACCCCGATATAATCCTCCAGTGCACCCTGAACCAGACTCCCTTCCACCCTGCCACCACTTCTGGTGCAGATATCACAATCCGCATTCCATCTTTAATTGGCCCCGCAGGCCCCTCCTACTTCATCGACGTTGTGGAATACATTAGTGCGGCAGTGATGGACTCTTGCGAAATTTACATTACCGAATATGATGCTGCGACCAGCAGCTTTTTTTACTTTATTGGCGCAACAGGCAAGTACAGCCAGAGCGAATTGGACGGGAATCGAATTACATATGACTCACCCTTACCTTGTATGTCCCTTGGATGCGCGAGGAATTGCACTGAAGCTTTCTATCCAGCAAACAAGAATGCGTACGGCGACAACATCCTTTACAAATCAACATTCGAATGTATTGCTGCTTGTCAAGGGAATACCCATATGACCTGGGACGAGCATCTGACCTACTATACAAGCGCTTCAAAGTGTGGTGCTTATGATACTGAGAATGGTCCTTCGAGTACATTTATTTCGAGCACTTATGGAACGACACTCCCAACGGACAGCGGGACGTTCGAAAGACCCTCTATGACAACGACGAGTGGTGCTACAAAAGCTATAGATAGTGCCTCTGCTGGAACAACAGGAGGCTCACCTTCGGGATCCAGCTCAACCCACGCATCTTCGACTTCCGCTTCCCCTTCAATCTCTACAACTAGCGCACCTCCGACACCCATCCCAACACCGTCGCACTCCGCAGCCAATCATATCTCATATAACGCCACACCTCTTGTTATTGTAATGCTCTGGGGACTGTGCTTGGCGATTAGCAGTATGTTATGAACAATTATACTCGCCGGAAGCGAGTGATATTTGGAATGGGCAAGCGATTTACGATGGATTTCTAATGACGACAGAAGATAATATAAATAGCAGCATTGGAATAAGCACTCTTTGATCCACCGTTTGTGAATGTGCTTTTCTGGGTTGAACTTTGAACCTTTTGCTTCCTTTCTCTTTCTTGACCGTTTCAAACTCCACTTTAACGATATGTCTCCCGCCAATACTTCAAACACCCCTTTTGTGTCATTCAAATTGCATCGCACGAGTCTAAATCCAACGCCCGCTTTCACAAGACTACAGAGTCTTCGCCTTGTCTATACTGTCCGCAAGTCTACATATAATTAATTTTCTCCTATTCATTTCCCCGTGTAAACCATCAGGTAATCTCGGGACATGTCACACTATGGAGGCTTTCCCATTGTTCCTGCCTTTCAGCAAATCATCTTACTTGCGTAGCAGCAATGTTACCTGCAGTCACGTGCACCAGGCTTGGTCGTGACTTAAAAGTCGTCGGCTCCTACCTCCTCTCGTTCTCGATCAAACTTTCCTCGACGACTTTTTTCCCCAAATAGATTTCTCCAGATCTCGACGAACTATGCCCGAGGTTGATCTACATAGACAGGATGCGGATTCCTGCCCGAAGCGCGATGGAAAAGAATCGCCAATATCGTCATTGAGCGCCGAGCTCCTTTACTCTATCTTGGAACTCGTCAGTTGTGAAAGCCTTATAACTACGCAGGAATTAATGCGTTATAGATTGCTGACACCTCTACGCATACGTTACCTTCTCTCACTCTTGTAAACAAAAGGTTTCATTGCTCGGCGCGAGGACTACTCGATCGCCATCAATTGTTCCATGTGACGGAGCTCCAACCACACATAGATCCACCCCTTGATGAGGAGAGTCGAAAGTCGATTGATTTGGTCAAGACGCTACTTAATGATCCAGCAAAGAGTCATATTGCCCAAAACATCCGATCCATTACAATAGACACAGCCAGAGTTCACACTCGCGGCTCGATAGGAAGACATGCGCCCTTGTGGCCTGAAGATAGTGAATTGGAGGAGAAATATAGCGACATTGTTGAACTGATAAAGAGGCTTCCGAGGTTGAAGGAGCTCACTTTCACGGGTGGTGATCGCGTACCACTTGTGCTTATCAACGTCCTCCAAGAATATCACCCCCATGCGTCACTCCATATTGAGCGCTGGTCACGCATTCGTGAGGACGAAGATCATAACAACCCCGTCGAAATAGCACTTGCCAAATCGCCAAATCTACGCTCTATCTCGGCATTATTTATGAATGAGGAGACAGCATGCGATCTACGTATCCCTGCTCTCAAACGAATTATCGCTCTCGCACCAAATCTCGAGAGGGTTGCTGTATCCAGTGTTGATACAGGGTGT